CTGTAGTAATAGTTTTTTATCATTTCATGATTTTTGTGGTAACTCTGTTTGTACCAATATTAATAGTAATTGGTAGTTGTAGTAATAATTAGAGTAATTATTTTTGTTTCTTCTTTTTAATCTCTTGTTTTTATTTTTTTTTAATTATTTTAGCTAGATCATTTAAAGAGTCATTTTTTTTATTTGCTTTCTCAATTTTTGTTAATTGTTTTTGAAGCTTAGCTTTCTCTTCTTTTTTTACTTCTTTTAATATTTCTTTTTCTTTTTCTAATTTCTGTAATTCATTGGTTGTTCCTTATGATAAGTAGTCTGCAGCATAGTTTTCTGCACCTACTATCCTATGTATTATATAGTTATACTCTTGCAATTGTAAAATCCAATTTATTATTGTATGATTTGTACAACTTTTCATTGATTTTGTTGATGATATTCCTGTCGAGTCAGTATAAATATGTATCTGTTGTGTTTCAATATAGTGTCTCCATTTTTCCAGAAATATATATATTGTATATAGTTCTCTTTGTTTACTAGGCCAACAACGTTGTGATTCATTTAACCTACTGAAACAGGAGGAATCGTTAATGTTATACAAACCAAAGGCATGATCAACATCATGCATATTTATTGTCAATTCATATAATTAATTAAAATTATGATACAATACCATAGTAATAATCATAATAATCACAATTAGATCAATTAATTTTACTTTATAACGATAAGTTTTATTATTATAATTTTATAGATTCAAAAATATCATCTTTACATATTTTAATAAATCTCTAGTCTCAATTAAATTACCCAATGCTTCATTTGCTTCATCCAAATCATTATCATCTATGTTATCATTTTTCTTGAACAATTCACTTTCGACTAATTTATTAGTCATACTTGTTATTAATGCATTAACATTCCTTTTAATCTCGTCTTGAAGATAATCTAAACATATAAAATATTTAAAATAAGATTTTTGTAAGCAATTATTGTGATAACCATACCCGCATGCCAAAACAATACCATTAGACAAATCAGATTTTTTGTTACAGTATATCGAATCACATAAAACAGATATGTTAAGTTTTTTAGAAGTGACAAACCTCTTGGAAGATGACGATCTGTCATTTCATAACTCAACAAAAGTAGCACGTATGTGTTTATACTCTCCTCTGAGAATTTAACAGTAGAATGCTGATCATGATTTCAATAAATCTTTGCGAATATTTCTAAAAGCTAAATAGAACACTTTTGTGATAGCATATCTAACTGTTTTGCATATATGGATATTTGATGGAATGTTCAAAATGTTGTTGAAAATCATTATTGTATCATTGCCGAAAAATGGTATGTGCTTCTTTTTGTAATTGTTGACCTGTAAGAAACTTCGTAGTACATCTTTGAATAATACTGTGTACAATTTCAACAGGAGAATTACTAAGAGAAGCCAAATAGTTAGTAATTATATTAAATATTAGATGACCAATTTCCATCCAATAAAAAATATCAGAAAAAAATATTAAGGGAGCGCGCTTATAGTTTTTTCAGTTAAATCAGAGGAAAAGATCGCTCCAGCAACATATGTATACTTCCTCATAAGTTTGCCAATTTCTCTCTCGATGGTGTATGGCATAAACATCGAAAGCTAGGAGAACTAAATTGCTTAATAAATCAGTTAAATATAAAAATTCGATATTTTTGCACTTATGACCAAACTTTGAATAAACTGTATCAGTGATATTAGACCATCCTATATGTATAATATGGAGAATTAAATTGATTCTCCATGGCCGTTGTTTATTACCAAGTTTCTTCTTTTTTCCAAATATACTTTTATAAACATTGCTAAATAAAAATGAATTTTTTAGATAAACAAGTTCACGAGTATTCAAGGATACATGAAGGGGTCCCATAATGGGCAAAAATGACATAACAAACTGAGAAATGCTTTCATTATTAAGGAGAAACCGTTGAGCAATCGCTTTGTAAATGAAGTATTGACCAGGCCAGTCCGCTACAACAGGAATTGCGTAATCGAAAAGATACACTTGTATTGGCTCTTGATCATATACAATTTGAAGAGTACACAAGTATCCTTCTATACCTTTTAAATCACTTTTGACAAAATCGACGAGAATAGTGTCGCGAACATGCCAATCATCTTTTTTCTCTGCAAGCCTATTGTTATAACTGTGTGATACAAGTCTATTTATTAGTTCTTCATCAGTATACACTCCTGCACCCCACATATAATCATGATACGAATCACCAAGATTCACAATAAATCATTGATCAAGGTGTTTCATAATCAAACCACTATCTATGAATTTAAAATTAAATATTTCACTATATGGTATAGCTGGTATTGAGCATAGATTCATTAAAATCATCATCATATGTGTTGGCCGGGAAGTAATAGTGGTGTTGGGTTGCTGTGGAACAAGGATATTATAATAATCATCAACGTTTAATATAAGTGCACTATTGGAATATTTCGCAAGTAAATTCTCTGCATCTTTTTTATACAAGTTAGATATTCTTCTCTTTTGTTGATTTACTGCCTAGGGTGTCATAGCCATACCAATATTCACCATTGTATTTAAACCTTTATTACTTGTTCCTGCCAAATCTAGATAATATGCAATGTCTAACTTAAAAGAATTAATTCTTGTATTATTTAAAGAAACAAGCAAATAACAAATTAAAACTATTAACCTCTTCATACGAGCCATCATTTGCTCATTACGCTCAGTTGGCTGAGCCACCAAATAAAGCTGGTTGAAGAAATCCTTCAGACTTGGGTCGATTTCTTGAAGCATTTCCCGCATTTCATCATAATCATATATGGGCTTCTCTTTCTTGAAGTGTTCTCTATCATAGAAGATTGACATCATCGATTTTATGGCTCCAATTAGATCGATCATACTTACCTTTTCTTCACTTGTAGTCCTAGCTTTTTTATTATCTGTAATCTTTGGTCATTTGGTATTTCTTACTTGATTTTCTACATCTATATAACACTTATTATATAAAACAATACCCTTTCACTATTTTTCTTTTATTGCGTCTTTACGTTTAGCCTTAGCCTATTTTTCTCCCGAAATCTAGGTAATTCAGTATTTTTATAGTTTTCGCATTGCTTAATTCCAGACATATTTTCTAGAGTAGATCGAAATATGAAAGTTGGTGGATTAAGATAGATTAAAAAAATATGTTATAATACAGCAAGAAAGCTTCAAGTTTGCTTAGTAAATTAATCACATTTCATAGAATAGATAAGTTATAACAGCTTTCTAAAAAAGTATTGTAAAACAATATAAAAAAATCTTCTTTCAATTGTGTGACAATTTTGTGTAATATCGACGATTTCACCTGTTCCCTACTAAGCCTATTTCTATTATGTGTCTTTCTGATTTGATTGGTTTAGAATAGTCTTTAAGTTCCTCTTTAAGCATCTCTTGATTAGATACTTTTTTATAATACTGTTATTCGAAATCTTCTTGGTATAAGATTGCAGCTATAGCTCCTTGTGAAGCATTACATTCCATAAAAAATAGTTGTTTTGAATCTGGAAATAATAAGACTAATTCTCTTTTCATTTCTTCCTTAAATCATTCAAATGCTTTTGTATATTCATCATCCTATTAGAACTTTTTGTTTCCTGTTAATTTATAAAGTGGATCTGCTATTTTCCCAAAGTTGTAAATATATGGTCTGAAGTAGTTCATGAATTCTAAGAATTGTTGTACTTCTTTTTTAGAAGTTTGAGTCTTGAATTTATCTACTTCCTTACTTTTTAAAGTATTTTTCCATATTTTACCATATTCTACTTCATGCTTGAGTATTGTTGTTTTGCTGACACAAAACTCGCATTTAGAGGGTTTAAGTTTCAGGCCCCTTTTTCTCGCTCTATTAACATCCTCATTAATCTATCTCTCATTTCTTTAATAGAGTTTGCAACAATAGTCAAATCAACTATGTAGAGTAGAATCCAATCAAATTTAGATAGTAATTTATTTACTGCTGCTATTAAGTATGCAGGTGCAGTACTAATTCCAAAAAGTAAATTATTTCACTCATAAGTTCTATATTTTCCAAATATACTAGCAGTATATTTTCTGCTATTCTCATGTATAAGGAGTTGCCAATATGCAGATTTTAAATTCATTGTAGTGTATATTTTATATGCAGCTATTTTCTGCAGCATCTGATATATATCAGGTAGAGGTTGTTTAAATTGCCTTAAATGCTTATTTAAGCCTCTGTAGTCTATGGCTATTTTTTTCATGCCATCTTTTTTGGTTATAACTAAGATATTCGCATCCTATTCAGATTGCACTGGGTATACAATTTTGTTTTTTACTAAGTTGTTCAATAGGTTTTTTATGACTTTTAGTTCTTCTTCAGAGTATTTTCTAGCTTGTTGTCTTTTATCTCTTTTAGATATTTTAGTTTCAGGTGTTTTTAATTTTAATTCTATTTTCAGAATTACTTCAGGTTTTACACTAGTCACTGGTTTAGGTTTTTTTCTAAAACAATCAATATACTTTTCTAATATATTTCCTAATTGTTTCTATATTTCAGGTCCACAGTTTTTCTTTAAGATTTCAATTCTTTCTTTAACAGCTTCTTTTTTATTTGTCCAATCTATTTTTTTCTTTTTCAGAATCTCAATTTTATTGAGAAAAAATTTTGGTGACTTTTCTAGTATTTCAACATTTCTAATATGTTGATCTTTACTTATTTGGACTTTGTATTCTAAGTAGTTTGCTATTAATATATAGTCTCCATTTGCTATCTCTGGTTGAATTGCTATTTCTTTTTTAGCTAAATATTCTGGGGTTTCTATATATCTATTTTTTATAGGTTTTCTTATTTTTACTAATAATATTGTATATTTTGGTAATACAATATTCTGTGCACTATGTATTTGGTCATCCTTTCTTACATCTAATAATACTATAGGTATTATTTTTTTTTTCTTTAATAGGGTGTATATGGTTTAGTTATATATGAAGATTATTGTTTTTTATATGCTCTTGTACTTTTTCATCCATTTTCTCTAGAAATTCTTGTTGTTCTTTAGTTAAGCTCTCATTATCACTTTCATCTCGTGATATACTTATTTCTGTATTTACTGAAGCTTGTGGTTGATTTTCAGTATAGATTTCAAGTGGTTGATTCCATGCTGGTGATAAGTATACTGTATAAGGTTGTCCTTTAAAGGTAGATTGTATTTGTATTTGTTGAGGTTCTGATTTGTCTTAATTGAATGCTCTTTTAATGTTTTGAGATATCTCTGTTCTTCATCTTCAGTATTTGTTACTGATGGTATATACATTTTTTGATTTTTATATCATGATGCAGGTGATGAAGTATTACTTCTATCTATAGGTCTTTTTGAATTTCTATTTGGTTGTTGAATTTGTTGATTTGTTTGAATTGGTATTGGTGTTAGTAATACTATATCTGGAGTATTTGTAAGATCCACAGAGTTTCTTAAACTTGATGGTTTTTTAGGGCTATGAATATGTTGTTTTGAGGATCCTGATCCTCCAAATATTTGTTTTCATCCTCCTGTAGGAGATAAAGAACTTAATCTTTCAGTTATTGATAGTATCCATCTTTTTTTTTCAGAAGCATCACTATCATTTGTTTGATTAGTTGATGATTTATCAGAAACTGTTAGTGATTTTGGTAGTAATCTTGGAGATTCAGAATATTGATATTCTTTTTTATATCCTGTTTTGGGTAATTCTAGTCTTGGAGATGGTGGTTTAGTTCGTATTTGTAACTGGTTTTTTGATAATTGTATTTCAATATTTTTATCAATTATCATTTGACCTTTTGTTTTTAATTGTGTTGCAAGCAAGTCTCTGTATTTATCTTGTATTGCTCTTCTGGCTTCTTCATTTTGTGTATTATTTGCTTCTAATAATAATTTATTTAATACTTCTCTTTGGTCCCATTCTGGCATTACTTTGAATTGATTACTTGTAATAGTGATTGCTGGATTTGTGTCTCTTTCATATTCTTCGAGCATGTCATTAATAGCTCCTCTTAATGCAAATATAGATATATCATTTTTATTTGATATTTCATTTAGAAAATTAAATATATATTCTTTTTGTATTCATGAGCTTTTCTATGAGTTACATCTGTTACTTTTTCTTTCATTTTTAACATTTCTTCTAGTTGATCATCATCTAGTGCTGAAGTATAGTTATACAGTGTTGAATTTGATACAATTTTGTTCATAATTGCTCAAATTTTTCTTTTATTTTTAGATCTTTAATATCATCTCTGCTTTTTAGTATTTGTTCCTAGTTTGTTAGCTTTTGTCTTATTATCATTCTTGGTCATATTGTTGGAGATCTATTTGGTGATCTACTCAGTATTTTTATTTGTTTTCTTTTTCAATTACTTGATTCAGCTTGTGGGGATATTTCTTCTTCAAACTGATTTATAGTTTGAATTATTTCTTCAAGCATTTTATTGTTAAGCTGTTTTTGATCTTGTCCATATGGTTCTTCATTTGCTGGTCCTAGTGTCATTCTTGCTAACTGTACTGCTAAATCTACTATCTCAGGTTCTTCATAGATTATTTCAAATCCTATACCTGTTCCCATAGTAGGCATTACATTTCCTGAATTTTCTTGTTGGTCAATTGTATTAGACCATTTTTCTATTCTTCGATCTTCTTCCAATAGATCGTTTGCATATTCTCTGAGTTTTTGTGCTTCTTGTACTTGTGCCAGTTGATCTTGTTGTTCTATGCTTGGTGTTTCTAATATTATTGCATAGGCCTCTTTGTGCTGGGCTATCATTTGATAGACTTCTTGTAATATGGTGCTGGTTGGATCCATTAAGTGTGCATGCTTGTCTATTCCTTTTCCAAATATACATTCTGGTGGACTGTTGTTAATATGTATTAACATTATCTTTTGTCCATATATATATAGTATATTTCTAAATTCATGTACCATTTTTTCACATTCTGCAGCATAGAAATGCTGAATATCAAGGCAAATTCCTATTTGCTTTCTTTCTTTTTTCTTGTCTTTAAATCTTAACTCTTGTTTTATACTATCCAATATATCTATAAGGTTAGCAACTGTTGCACCAAAACAGTTGTTAGATGCACTATTTTCTAATAAGATTTTTATCTTTATTGGTTGTATCTTTTCTAATATATAATTGACATTATCAATCATATCTGATTGTTGTCATTTGTCTTTTGTTCCTAAGTGTAGGACTGCTCATCTTATATTTATTTCCTTTGCATATGCACATTCTTCTATGATTCTTTTTATTTTCTAGTTTACTTTATTTTCTCTATACAGTTGATCATTAATATATAGTTCAAGTATTGTATGTAGTACCATTTTTAATCCTATATTTCTATTTCCTTCTATTATTTCTCTATCTGCTTTTTTATCATGCATTGCTATTTTTAATGCTTTATATTTTGGAGTATCTTCTAATTCTTGATATTTTAAGAATAACTAAAGGATATTTGATTGTATCAATACAGTTGTAGATACTATTTCTGTCCATATTTCATCTGTTATTACTCCTATAAGTTTCTTTCATTGCTTATTCAAAGAAACTTGTCATCTTAATTCTTTAATTTGCTCTTCAAAAGTTTGAGGTAACATGCTTTTAATGAACTTTTGGTTTTCTTTGGGTTTGTATTTTTCAGTTACCCAATTGATTTGGTTAGTATTGGAATTTTCTGTTGATGGTTTTCTAATATTCTTTTTAGGTTTTCATTGTGGATACTTTTTAATAGCATGTAAATATTCTTTTAATATTTTCTTGCTAATTTTAGTATCTTTGGAGACTTTCTTTTTGTTTTCTTTAGTTGGTTCATTAGATTTTTTGTCCAATCTGAGCTCGAATTTGTTTTGTTCACCACGTTGGGCACTATCTTAAGCATTAGCAAGAGATGCAACTAATATGCGTTTCTTTGTTACTGTTGTGTCATAGAGAATCATTTTTTGTTTACCACGTTGGGCACCATCACAGAGTTTTTTTTTGCTTTTGAGGGGTGTATCTCTAGACTTTTGAGTGAGATGACTAGATGCGACAATTGTGGATATGTCTGTATTAATATCACATGATACTGGGATAGACTCTTCTTTTTTCAAGGTGCAAGAGAGGTTTCCTAGAATAGAGTTAAGATTTAATTCTGATAACTCTTGTGATTGGTTCAGGAGGATATTTTGATATGATATTGGTTTTCCATTTATTCGAGCTATTTTATTATTTCTATCTTTTGAGATATTTAGTCTGTCTTGATCTACTTCTAATAAAAGCATATAAGCTTGGTTTTCTTCAAGGATTGATATCTTAAGAATTGCTTTAATATCTTCTACTTGGAATATTGCTTTTACTTGTCCAAGGTTTTCTATTGTTTGTTCTTCTGGTAGAATAGCAGTTGTTTTTTTTATGATATTTATTGTCACAGCTGATGCTGAAAATGGCTGATGCTGAAATTTTGGGGTCTCTGTTTAGAACTATAAAATTTACTAAAACCCATCTATACACTTTAATTAATAAACCCTAACCCTAAACTCTACTCAAACTATTATATGAAGACTAAAAAAATGCACCCTAAAAAATTGTAAAAATTTAATAATAAAATAATCAAATTTCAGCATCAGCTGCGACATCTATTTTTTCTAGTAATTCTAATTCTTTTGCTATGTCTGATCCTATAACATTTGCACTTGCTTCTTCGCCTAGTAATACTAGTATTAGTTTGTTATTTAATAGTGCGATAAATTGGTATTGCTTCTTTACTTTTGGTCTAAGATTTTGCTATTTAGCTTCTTTTGGAAATTTGTAAGTTTTAAGAAGATAGTTGTATTCATTTTGTTCGAATGCTTTCTTTATCATTTCTTTATTTGTAGGTTTGGCAGAGAACTTTTGATACTTTTGATAAATAATAGGATCTTTATTAAGTATTTTAGAGTTAATACATTTGATATTATTAATACTTTGTATTTTGGTAATACTAATAGTGTTTATGTTCTCTCTAGTGTAGCTTTTAGAAAGTTTACTTGGGGTTTTCTCTTGAACACTAGGCGAGTCCCCTATTTGAAAGAATTAACTTTCTTCCGAATGGTTTCATAAAGGCTGTTTGCAGTTATAACTTCTTCATTATCAGATTCTTCAGTTTTTCTTCAGATTCTGAATAGTATTCTTCATTTTCTTCTTTATTTCCTTCATAATGTCAGAATTTCTTTTTGGTGAATTTCCCTTTATATAGTTTTCCTTTTCCTTTATTGTAAGGTTTCTTTGAGAAGTTTCCTTTCTTAAATCTTTTTATTTCCATTGGTACTGTTCTTCTTTCTACTCTTTTCCCATTCATATGTGTTCCATTATTTCGAGTACATCCTGGGTGATGTTTTGAGTATGGTTTTCCACATTGTGAGCAAAATCTTTTCTTTTTAAGTTTCCAATTATTTACATTGTTAAAGGAGTCTTTCTTAGTATTTAAGTAGCAATTCCTGGCAAAATATCCTGGTTTTCTACATTTAAAGCAGTTTCTTTTAGGTTTGTCATTTTGTAAAGTATTAATATTTTTTATTGAGACTTTCTTTTGAGGTCATTCTTTTTTAGTAAATTTTGCATTATTTACTTTGGTTACTTTGATGTTGGCTAATTTTCCAAAGTTAATTTTTCTGCTTTGTAACATTATGTGTCTTTTTGCTTGGAATGCTCTTTCTCCCACATCCTAAAATTCTTGTAGAGTTGTTGGGTTAGCATGATAAATTGCTTTTTGTATTTCTATAGATATTCTTGTTTTGAGGTGATTATATTCTCCTGCTTTGAAATTGTTATTGAATAGGTATCTAGAGATTTGGATTAATTTTTTATAAGTACTTCTTCATGCAGAGAATGCTAATTCATCTTTCCAATTTGGTTTTACAAAGGTATGCTTTAGGAATTTCTCCTGCCATGCTTGTTGGACATCATTTTTGATGAATGCTTTATCAAGGATTTCTCTCTAACCTTTTTAATTATGAGCTGCTGCTACTATTCTGCAGGCTATTAATACTGCTACAGCATTATATTGTGCTTTATTATATTTATAGTTGCTTGCAAGAAGATATCTACTATGATTTGGTAGAGTATTTTTAATGTCATCTTGATTGTTAACATTTGATCTAAACTAGCTTAAAGCTTCATCTTTATTTTCTTTATAAATATCTAATGCTACATCAGATAATTTGGTAGATACTTTTGCTATTATTGCTCTCCATAATGAAGTATTGCAAAATACATTTGGGTTATTTGTATTTGCTATTCAATAGTTGGCATCTTGTCTTGTATATTCTTTGTTAGGATTTTCTGAAAATACTCCGAATTCAAATAATATTTTTGGTACATATGAAGAAATTGTAGTTTCTGTTTGATTTCTCCATTTGATATATTTTTTCAAGTCTTTACTGAAAAATTGTATTGCATTTTCTAGTCCTTGAATATTTGGTATCTTAAGTTTTGTTGTCATTTTTAACTAAAATATTCTCTATAACTTATTAGTTTAAATTGATATTCACACTGTGCTGTTTTTAACTACTTTCTAATATTATTTTTAGTTGCTCTGGTTACTTGAAGTACGTCTTCTAGAATTTGTTTTTTCCCTAATAAGAATGAGTATAATAATAAGGCTGCTATTTCTTCTTCTGTAATATCAATATAATAGTTTACTTCTTCTTTGTATGTTCAGATTCTATTTTGGTTATCTGTTTGAGTTTTGATTATTCTTCTTGTTGCTAGTCTTCCTAGATTATTTAGTTTGTAATATAACCTTGGTATGACTTCTTTAATTTTTGCTTTTTCTGTGTTTTGTAAAGGTTTTAAATATTTTTAGAAGAATTGGTTGAAAACTCCTTGGAAAGTTATTTCTGTTTTGGGGTTTATTTACTGATAAAGAACTCTGGTTTTAGGTTTGTTTCTTTAGAAAGTTTCTTTATAAACTTTTCTAGTTCTTTATATTGTATTGCTAGTTGCAATAGTTTTGGATATAATCTTGGTACTAATTTTCTATTAATATAGGCTTCTTTATATTCATGAAGTACATATTTTTCTGCAATTTTTTTTACAGGTTGGTTTTTTGTTATGACTTTTGGTCTTGGTTTGATGATAGGTGGTTGCTTAAGAATTTTATTTTCTTTGATAACAGTTTTTTCACTGTATACTTCTTTAGGTTGTTCTAGAAGTAATAATACTATTTCTTTATAGTCTGATTTAATAATAAATTGGCATTTATTGTGGTAATAATTCGTAGTTTTCTCAGTTATTAAGTTTTCTTGGTCTGATTGTTATGTCAATTACTTTAATGTATGATTCTGATAGGATTGATAGTGTGTAGCAAATTGCTGCTACTAATATTGCTACTTCTATAACATGTGCTGCTAATAATACTATTCTGTCAAATGCAGTTACTAAGATGCAAAGGTTGTTCATCCACAGTGTGAAGTTTGCAAATATTTTGAATTTTGGTAGTGTTGATTCACTTGTTGTTTCTTGTTGGTTATCCATGGTGTTTAACTTGTTATTACATTTCTAACTTGTGCTGCTAATTCAGCATTTTCTTTTTGAATATCGTGTTTTAGATATTTTTTTTTAATATCTTTTTCTCTTTTAATTATTATAATTACTGATATGGCTATTAATACTATTGCAGTTACTATTATTCCAAGTAATTCTTGTATGTTTGGATCAAGTATGAATTGTGGTAATTCAGTAATTGTTGGTGTACTTGTTGGTGTTATTGTAGATACTATTGTTGAGAATAAGGTCGAGATTATAGTCGATAGAGTAATAGTTATTAGTATAACTACATTACTCATTAATATTTTGTTCCAAATAAGTTGTTAACTTTGTTAATATTTGGTCCTAAAACTTGTCGATTTAGTTGTTGCTTGGTTATGCCTTGGAATGGTTCTGTTCCTGGTAAAGGTGTTGTATGTTGTTGATATCTTTTCTTCTTTTGTTGAAATATGATTATAAGTGTTACTACTTCTATTAAGATTATTGCAAAGGTAATTATTCCTTCTGTAATTTCAAGTTTGGTTGCTATTTTCTGAGATGTATTATCAGTTGTTGTTATTTATTTCTTTTTCCAATATGACTTATTGGTTGGTAAAGGTGGTACAGGTGGTATTACTCCTGGTCAGAATGTGATGTTGGGTCGTGGTGTTATTCCTATTGGTTGAGGTGTTGTACCAATTGGTCTTGGTTGTGGTACTATATTGTTTAATTGAGGTCTGAATCCAAAGAGTTGGTTAAGTCTTTGTTGGACTTGTGTATCTCTTGAACTTTGTGATTGTGTTCTTGATATTGGATTTGATTGGAAGTTTTGAGGTTTCTTTGGTACTATTGGTACTTAAAAGTGTACTTGTCTGTTGGAATTTGGAATAGTTATTGTTTTTTAATTTGTTCAAGGTCTGGGTGGTCTCGTATTTGAATTATTAGGTATATAAAGTTAAATTTCTTTTTTAGCAACAGGTAGATTGTTGTAGGTATTGATCTGCTCCAGGTATGTTCTTGTTGACCTTCTTTTTATATCTTTGATATTTACAACAACAATAGAATATTACTATGATTAGTAATGCTACAAAGGTTTCAATTATTAATCTGTATAATAGTTGTGTAGCTAAAGGGTTGTTTTCAAATGTGTTGCAGCTTATTGTTGAATTAGTTTCAGTCATCAATTGTTGATATTGATTTGTAAATTAAATGATTATCAATTATTAATATTGTTGTGGATCTGTTTTTTGTGATTACGGAGTTTTCTATTATACATAAGTATTATTCCAGTTATAGTAGTTATTGCAGTTAATATGGGATTATTAATGCAACAAAGGTGTTTCAGCTTCTTTATCTTGCAAGAAGTCTGGTTGATTTGTAATCAAAGATATTTGGGTTACAATAGCACTTATTGTAGTAGCAATTTGTGTGTTTGTTGGTAAGGCACCTTTATGTTTATTACGTCAGTTTTGGAGATTCTGGTTTGTAAGCAGATTACTAATGTAATAATTATTAAGCAAATCTTGCTTTGTAATAATAGGTTTTACATTTGTATTGTTGAATTACTAATTTTTGGTAGTTTTGATATAGTTGTCTTGTCAGATGATCAGTCTGTAAGTTTCAATGGTAAGGTTTTGTTTTAGCCTTTTCAGCCTTACTGGTTGTTAATGTCAGATTAGATTAATTATAATAGTTAATCTTCTGAATTAGAGTAAGCTTTCCTTCAATCGTACTTGCTTAAGAGTTGTTTAAGCTCTATTCATTTTGCAATACATTTGTTTGGTAAGTTTGGTTTGGATAGTTGTATAGTTTATTTCTTTTCTGTATGCCTTTCTGTTATAAGTTTGTTAGTGTGGATGTGGTTTTTAGTAGTGAGCGCCTTTTGCGCTACTAATTTCTTTTCACAGTGGGCTAGGCCGTGCTCTTTTCTTGTGGAATGGTTTTGTTAATTATTTATTCAGAGGTGGATAAAGTCTCTGAGGTACTACTTGGTTATTACTATGCCTCTGCCTGGGCATTAAGCTATCTAAGCTTTACTACTTTGGCGTCAGATTATTTATTGTTTATGTTTATGTAGAAGGATTATAGAATTATACTATTTACTTGCACAAGGTTTGTATTTAATAAATTGGTTTTTATTAAATTTATTTAGTGAAGTACTATGCTAATATTATATCTTTTAGCTCTTTAGTTCTGTTCCCAAATGTCTTTTGTTTCTATATCATCTCTTTTATATTATGTAAATATAATATGATTTTATCATATTGTAGAGCGCCAATTATTTTATATTGTTCTTTTTGTGAACAATCCTCAGGTTCACATATTATAATGATTTCTTTTTGGGTTAAAGAGTTCGTGTGAGCACCTATTGTTCAATATTGATTGTGAAGAGGCAACAATAATATTATTGTTCTTTAATATTATTCGATGCCATGTCTAAACTCCTATAGTCTCATTGGATGCCTTTGGGTATATGAGGTTTGTCAGATCGCTATCACATCGTTGGTATGGATTGGTTTTGGTAATCATTATAAGTTTGTTTGATCTTTGAGAGTACTATTATTGGGTGCATCAGGTTTGTTTTTTGTTGGGTGTTATTAATCTTCTTCCTTCCCTTCTCATGTGTTATTCTTTTTGTTGGATGCCATCACAGGGTTTTGATTATTCTTCCTGCTGCTTTTTATAAGTGTTTAGACATTTGTTCTTTCGAGTGTTTCTATGGTTTACTCTTGTTGGGCGCTATCAAGGGTTTTCTTGTTTGCTTCTTTTCTTGGTTGGGCGCATGATTCTTTTCAATGTCTTTGTGTATTTGGTTGCTCGTATCTGAGTTCCAAATTAATGGTTCAGATTTGAGAGTTCTTTATTTGTAAGGAATTTTAGGCTATAATTCACTCATCATTGTTGGGCGCATATCCAACTTAGCATTAGAGGTTGCTAGGCTAGAATACGTTGGGCGTATTTGAATTTTCCGTTAGAGCTATCTTTGAGCAAAATCTAAATTAGATTGTGTTGAGGGGTAAAACTTGCTAAGGTCTTTTGCAAGGTGTAAACCCGTTGAGCTAAAATTGCTTTGAGGATTATTTCTTTTTCTGTTGTGAGGACGTTTCTATGATTGAGCTATCTAGGGGGCTTTTTGAGGGGTATAAACCCGCTAAGGTCTTTTGCAAGGTGTAAACCCGCTAATGTTTCAAAGATCAA